CCTTACGGACCAAATCCTGGTCAATCTCGATCCTTGCCTTGGGGTTGTGATTGGATGCCGAGGCCGAGATATATGAGGCGGACTTGGCAACGGATACGGTAGGCGGGGGCAGCTTGCCAGCCTCGCGGATCAGCGCCAAGGGCACGTCGACTCGGGCCGCCAGCGCCGACGCATAGATGAAACCACCGGCCTCGCAACATGCCACCACGTCGACCTCAGACCACTGGCGGGAGAAGTGACGTTCCAGCAGGGCGGTGCACAGGGTCAGCCCGCCCGGCTGCTGGGCAATGCCGAGCACGTGGCGGAACTCGATGCCGGGGCGTGGAAAGTCCGGGACTGAGCGCACCATAACTGCCAGCCGCTGCAGATCTTCGTGGAATAAGGGGAGCAGGTGGTGCTCGGAAAACGCTCTAACGACCCCGTCTCCAGTTGCGTCGTTGTCGAAGACGAAACTGGGGCAGTAGTTCAAGGGTGGTGGACTTGGATCCGGGTCATCGTTGCGGTTGCCAGTCCGGCGAGCTTGCCGCGTCTTGTGGCTAGCTTGGATGTAAACTTCGACCAGTCTACTTTCCGGTACCAGGTGCGAGAAAAACGTAACCGGCGCCTCGTCCCTCATGCCCGTGATGAACAGCACGTCCACATCCACAGCGCTTTTAACCACCTCCAGGAAATGTTCCTCTGGTAGCCGGGGCCGTTGCTGTACCTGGTTCTGGTAAAAGACTGTCAATGCTGGTCGGTGTTGCTCCTTGTAGGCACGGTCCTGTAATAGACGATTCACATCGGCGCCAGTGGCTGCCGCGTACTCGCGCTTGGTCGCTTCGCTGATGCTGACGGCGCATGCCATGAATCCTCTGTTCTTAAATACGGAGACCCAGATGTCTGCGCAGTGATCCTTTCCGGCGCCGCTCTTCCCGGTGACGAGAACGATAAGCTTTGGCTCCATGGATACCCTCGGGAGTTGACAGCCGTACGATAGCACATTGCACGGGTCCCAGAAAGCGCGTTTGATATGAGCCAGGCGAGCTATGTTTGGTCCGAACGCCCTGGCAGCCAGCTCCGCGTCTCGGGGGTCTGGCCCGAGGTCAGCGCCGTACGCTCCGCAGCTCACGGGCAGCAACTCCCTGGCGACCTTGTAGACCCAGTCCATAGCGGCTCGAGCGGGCTCAGCACCGTCCTGCTCCCGGGCCCAGACACCGGTCACCACACAGGCGAAGTCCCAGTCTCGGCAGCCAAATGCGGTAGAATTTGCCGCCACGTCACCGACTGCTCCTCCGCCATGGACCAAATGGAGATAACAGAGCGGTGTAGGGCGCGTCTCCACAGCCGCCGTCAAGATGTCGGCGATATTGGTCTCCCCAATGTGCTTCAGGAACAAACAGCGTTTAAAGGAGGACGTCTTGCCGCCACCGTGCCCGCCATGTATCCCGGACATGTACATCTCGGCTTTGAACACACCGACGGAATCCACTGTCCGGAAACTTGTTTGTGGACCTAGAATCGCAGCGATGTTCGAGAGTGCGGCTGGGGGTGTCTTGCAGCTAGTCCCGGCTGTAGATGTCTCGAACATAGTCACGCCGAGACGCAAGCTCCCGTTGTCCCAGTACAGATACGCATCGGCAGAACAGGCCCTGGGTAGTTGTCTGGCTACCAATCTGTCAAAGTCACTGAGCTTGCGCCGCGCCTCGCGCTGGTCGCCCAGATTGACAACCCAGTTTCGAACCGAGTAGGTCGGCGCCGCATATGCCTTGAAGGCAACGCTGATTACAATGCCAAA